ATCACTCCAAATAGGGCATTGCACGGTTCATCCATCCTCTGAAACAGAATGTGTACCAGTGTCAGCTATTCAGAACCACACATTATGAAACTCATCAACAGAGAAAATGACAAGATCAAGCACAGATCTTCTGGCTCTTTGATCGTTGGACCGTATCTTTAGCTTTTCAGACATGCTGCAGAGCCACAAATGGAAGATCCTGTGTCGTGCTTGCCAGCAACACAGTGCATTGACTCATGTTTGCTAATTGCTGCTTGAAATGAAACAAAAGTAAAGGCAGGGCCCAACTGACAGATCAAGCCAGAGGGAAGCCTGCGTTCAGAGTTCAGAGGGCTCTGATTCTCTGGCTGCTGACGCATCCCATGGCGCTCTTACATAACAAAGTCCCAACGCTGAAGAAGAGACCTGTTTTCTTCAATCAACTGATAAATGAGTTACTTTCAGCGATATGGGTTGGGAAACTTTTGTGTCATCACAAATCAATAGCGAGACCATGGATGAAGGTTAGTGAAAGGAGATATGCGCAATATTCAGAATGAGCAAATCAGTCTTTTGGAAAACAGACAGAAGTCAACATCTTTACTGCCTTGTAGGAGAGGACATGATGTAACGTAACCAAGACTGTACCAAACTAAGGGCTAGAAGAATATTTTTAGTCCTGACAAGAGTACCACAGGTGGGTCACTCTGTGGTACTGTACGTCTCTGCTTTGCAGCTAAACAGCATGATCAGAGCTAAAACAGTTCCAGTCGGAGGGAGAAGTGGGAAAACCTAACTAACCAACATGTCTAAAGTTGTGTTCCTGCAATTATACATCATAGACAGTGCTATCCATCATCTTTACCCACTTCTTCCTTTTTGGGTCGTGGGGGTCACTGGTGTCCATGTCCAGCCATCACTGTACGAGAGGTGGGGGACACCCTGGACAGGTCTGCAGTCCATCAGAGGGGCATAGAGACAAACGGGACAAGCAACTATTCACTCTCTCACCTACAGTAGATACAATTTAGAGTTATATCAGTCTAACATGCATGTTTTTGGTCTGTGGGAGGAAACTGGAGTACCCGGAGAAAACCCACTCAGCACGGAGAGAACATGCAAACTCTGCACTGATAGACCCCCTGCCGGGTATCGGTCTGGCAACCTTCTTGCTGAGAAGCAATAGCTCTACCAACTTAGCCACCTCTGAAGTAAATCAACTGAGGGATCTCCTTTTAATCAATATAGAAACTAGAAGGCACAGTTTTCTCAAATGATTTGGGTGGTCAGTTTATCTATATATATATGGTGGCAGCCATCTTGGATTTGAACATGGCAGCCCAATTTTCCACCAAATGTTCCTTTATATTGCTTTAAAGTAGTTTTATCAAATGACTGGTGTGGCCAAAGATTAATGTATGGTGGACAAGGCCACCATGGGCCACCTCCTGGCTTCTCCATTGCACCTGGTTGTGGATCAAATTGTTCCCTCCACTCACCAGGATTCATCACTCTGTGCCGCCTTGGACAAGCAAAATAAAAACACCTTACCTCTCTTCTTCTCCACAGTATAACTCCTAGCCACTTGAATATCTTACACCAAAATCATTACCTGTGTTCCCTGTTCATTTCCAGTCCAGAAAAACTGAAAAACATTCACTTTAGTGACGGGGCACAGCTGCGTACCACTTGTTTATGATCAAGATGGTGCTCAGGTATTTATTAGAGGAAAACAGCCAGGTGTGTTTATTAGAACTTTGTTGACAAATTTCATTCATTCATCATCTTTACATGCTTCTCCGTTTTGGGTCATGGGGAGCTGGTTCATATCTCCCAGAGATACCGTGCAAGACGTGGGATACACCCTGGACAGGTTGCATGTCCATCACAGGGACATAAAAGACACCCAACCATTTACACTCTCACACATACCTAGGGACAATTCCAGTGAAATTAAGATGTTTTTGGCTGAGGGAGAAAACCACAGTACCCAGAAACCACCCGCGTGTGAACCGGAGAACATACAGACGTCCCCCCAGAAGATCCTGCAGCCTTCTTGCTGAGAGGCAAGATAGGCAACGATAGAACAAAAAAGTGAACACACTACAAGTCAGCTGAGTCATTTATCAGATGAGCCAAATGCTTGTTTAGACTCGTCACCTATCTGAGCCTGCTTGCCTTCATAAATTATTTGGTGAGAAAGCATGCATGCAACTTTTTCTGTTTTATAGTAGCTGCTAAATCATACTAGTCCAGGTCCTAGCAGGAAGTGGAGCACAAAACATGACAAAGATCATAGATGACAGCATGACAAAGAAACATAGGAGAATTAATGAGTGATCCGTTGTGAAAACAAACTAGTTCTCAGTCATGCTGTATCTCTTCCTATCTATCTCACACACTTGGCTGGGGGTGATGATAAGGAAAAGGAGGAGGGTTTGCCTACTTCAGAATTTCTTGAAAAAATGAGTAATTCTTCCCGAGTATACAGACGGTAGTTTATGATTAAAGCCTTCCAGTGGGTAAATACTCAACAATTCACGCAAACCATCTTTTCTATAGGAGTGTTTACGATGCATTCCTTATGATGGATAGTAGTGTTAAACAAAAGTGTTTTTACACAGACATTTATGAATGTTTAGGTTGTAAAGTATCTGCCATGTTGTTTCTTGGAATAGCCTTAAAATGTAAAAGTATGTTTGTGGCATTTTGCGGCTGATCTCTTTGAACTTACTTGGTGTTTCCTTGTAATCTCAGGCCTCTAAAGTTATTCACATGACCTTGGACATTAATCTTGTCCACTGCCAACAATAACGGGGCAAATAACAGGTGCTTTTGCCTGTATTTGTGTGTAAATGTCTGACCGTTGACAAAATATCTCATGAACCACAGGACAGATTTTAATCAAACTTTCAGAAAGGAGATGTACAACTATACTTGATGAAGTTTTGGAGTCAACCCATTTAAAGATGGACAACATAGACAACTGACCTTAAAACAGAAAAATGACTAAATTCCAGTCAGTTTTATAGATAATTACCTAATAATTAATGTGGTAGTAGCTGAGACTGATCCCTAACATATTACCATTGATTAATTGTAATCAACTCTCTCTGAGAGAAAATATCTGATGAACTGGATAGATTTTAATATTTTTGAAACATTAAAAAGTAATTATTGGACAGCGGATTATATTTTGGAGTCTAAGTCAACATGGCGGCCACAGCCAATTTCACTTAAAAGACAGAAATGACTACTGGTATCAGTCAGTGTCATTAATATTGTGTGAAACTTGGTGTGGCAGTAGCTGAAAGTCATTCACTGCACATACTCCAACATGCAAACTCGTTTTTGTAACTTTCAACTGACTGTTGAAGCCAACCTTTTTCATCTGTTAGCAAAATATCTCAGGAACCACTGGAATATTTTAACGAAACTTTTGGGAAATTGTCATTGGATGAACATTTACAACTGAAATAACCTTCAGAGCCAACCCAACGCAAGATGGCTGCCACACCCAGCTAAACCTAGAAAGCACATAAATGGCTATCCAGTTACAGGTTTGAGTGTACACCTGAATGACAACCTCAGCTGGAGCAACAACACCACCAGCCTGATCAAGAAAGCTCCTCAGAGACTCTACTTCCTCAGACGGCTGAGACAAGCTGGTCTGGAAGCTCAGTCCTCACCTCCTTCTACAGGTGTGCAGTGGAGAGCATCCTGTGCTCCAGCATCAACGTGTGGCATGGAGGCTGCACAGCTGCAGAAAGAAAAGCTTTGCAGAGAGTGGTGAAGGCTGCACAGAAGATGTTGGAGTCAGTCTCCCCACCATTACAGACATTTACACCTCCAGATGCAGGAAGAGGGCCACCTGCATCATGAAGGACCCCACTCACCCAGCACACACACTTTTTGCCCTGCTCCCCTCAGGCAGGAGGTTGAGGAGCATTAAGTGTAGAACCACTAGACTGAGGAACAGCTTCTACCCTGAGGCTGTTAGACTCATGAATCCCTAACCAGAATAATCACTCTAATGTCGCTTTATCTGTTGATTATTCATGATTTCTTATCTTAAGATGCTGTATTCATACCATCTGCTCACAACAGACTCATGTTCAGGCTGCTTTTTAATACACCTTATTATATTACATTATTACTGTTTAGTGTATAGCTTAGATCCAGTGGTGTAGTCTACATTTTTGTAGTGGGTATACTGTGCTTGGAAACCAAAGTACACCAGTTAGTACGATGTAATCATCAATTTATTTTGATTTTTAAGCATATTGAACATTTCAAAATGTATCTGATGCTTTTATTGCAATAAATGAACAACAGACTTTGTACAACAGTTGGCAACATGTTATACAATTTATAAAACAGTATCAAAGTAAAACATGTTCAAGTATTAATTAGTAAGTACAGAAATATTAATTATACAAAAACAGGTTAAATCAACTCAATGTGTCTATAAAATGTTCTAAATGTGTTGACAATGATGGGCTCGAATAACTGGGCAATTTTAAGTGGGTATACTGAAATTCCCATGCTTTTCTAGTGGGTATACTCTGTATACCTGCATATTGCAGCTTAGATCCTTCTTTCTTTTTTATACTTTATATTTTTGCTATTTTTGGTTGTAACTGGGACCTTGAGTACACAATTTGGTTCCACCTCATGTACCACATGTGATGCAAATGACATTGGAGAACCTTGACCCTTGAGTTTTGCAGATCTTGAGCTAAAATGTGAGGTGGTAGTAGTTGAGGGTTATTCACAGCACACACTCTGACATGTATTGCATGAGATGTAAAGTTTAGTAACGGCCACAACTCCGTTTCATTTTGTTTTATTTTTCTTAGTCTGAAGCTGTGGCACAAAGGGTGGCGGGCGATACACATTCTGTCATGCGCGTTTGGTCCGTTCCCAGTATATTCTCTTGGAATGAACCCAAGTAGGTATCTCTGGCTCCGCCCACTCAGTATTTAAACGCTCGTTCTGCTCCAGCTGCTTATTTGAACCGCATCTCAGGACTGAACTAATTGGAAAAAAGGGGAGACGGACTTTTTACCAAACTCTGAGCCTAAAGGTGAGTCAAGCTTTTAATTAATATAATAAAGTAATAATTGGCAGGTAAATAGTTTTTATTTCTCTGGAAAAAGTTAACACCAGTTTTCTTTCTCTCACCTTCACATTAAGCTTGGACATCTGAACCCAGCATCAAACTATTTATTTTATTTATTTATTTCCCTCCTTCATTGTTGGGAGCTGAAGTGTGAGGTCGCCTCTCCTCCTCAGGGAACAGAGATGCGGTCCCTGATCCAGATGTTCGCCTGTTGCATCAGCCTGCTCCCCCTCCAGCTGTCGGCTCTGCCGGCCCGGGAGCGAGCCGACACCCGCAGGTAGGACCGGACCTCCTTCTGCTCCTCACTCACTGCTGCTCCCTCTGCTCCTCACCTTAAAGCCGCTGTTTCAGACCAAAGACAAGCTCCTGGCAGAGTTTGAGTCTTTGAACGCACCTGTCGGCTTCACGTGAAGGCAGCAGATTTCCGGTTGCCGCACGAGACGGCGACCTTTGGCAGCTTTAACCTTGATAAAGTCACTGTCAGCAAAATATATCATGAACCTCTGGGTGGATTTGATAGATTCTGTTTTATGAAACACCCACTAAATGTTTTAATAAGCAGTTCAAGATGTCCGCTGATGTAGCTGAGAGGCATTCACAACTCTGGAGTGATCTGTTAGTAAAATATCTCAGGAACCACTGGACACTTTCAGGAAATAATCTTCAGATTTATCTCTACAACAGATTAAGTTTTGGAGCCGACCCAGTTTAGGATGACTGTCCTGATGATAGGAAACACAAAACATGAATAATTCAGTCATACAAATATTAAAACATGCAAAGTGCGAGTCGTTGTGCAAAAACTTGGATTAAAATGTTGCAAAACTTTTCTCAGCTCTGTTAGTTAGATGGTAAACTTTGTTCTCAGATGATCGTTGTTAAAAACTCTGGAGAGAAGAGATCCTTGACCTTGAAGAGTGACTCCTTGACCTTGATCATAAAAGGTCATAATCAGATTTATAGAGGAGCGTCTTTTCATTCAAGCTGCAGCTCTTCTGCCCTGAGCTGAATGTAAATCTGCCAGCTCAGGTTTTGTTCTGAGACTGAGACGTGTGTGCGTGCGAGCGTGCACGTGCGTGCTGGCTCCTCTTTTTAGTAGATCAGTTCGTTGCACAGCCGACTTTCTCTCAGCTCCCTGAGTGTGTCACGAGCCACCCGAGGGCCAGTGTTTGTTGAGTCTCATGCAAACAGGAGATAAAAAGCACTACAAGGGCAAAGTCTGCACACTGATTCTGTTTTCATTGATTTTTATTTTAATTCTCCAACATTTGACTCAAGGTAGAACGTTTCTGAAGCAGTTCCAGCTGGGGCCCAAACCGTCAACATCAGTTTGTAATAATCTATTCTCCAGGGCAGGATATGCATTTTTTTTATGTATGAACTGCATGAGGTGGTGCAGTTGGTAGAGCTGCTGCCTCTCAGCAAGAAGGTCGTCGGCTCAAATCCTGGTCCGAGGGCCTTTCTGGGTGGAGTTTGCAACATATGTCACGTATCATTGGGCATCTTTAGTGGTTATACGCCGTATACTCGCGTATCACTAGACTACAGCACTGGACTGGAGACCTGTCCAGGGTGTCCCCCGCCTCTCGCACAGTGATGGCTGGACATGGACACCAGTGACCCAGAAAGGAAGAAGCAGGAAAATATAATGGATGGATGGATGAGAAGTGTAAAAGCGAACCAAAAGAAATGTTAAAGATGCTGCCCGTGGCTCATTATGGTCACTCCTGATTGTCAGTGTAACGAGAGGCAGACAGAAACAAACAAACAAAAAATAAGTCTCAAACAAGCAGTGGCTGTGAAAACTATAAGCCAGAGCTTAAAAAGTCTTGAACTGTGAACAGCAGAGGGCTTTGGTGGTCACGATCAGAAAGACCCTTTACTTCTAGTTTTGAAGACAATGTTTGGGCTAAAATGAAACAGAAACCAGTGGAAGCTTGGGTGTGCACGTTATGGTGCACTTTATGATAGAAAACAGTAAGTGGAGATGCACTGGTTGGAAAAAGCATGTTTTGATGTATAATTTGTATCCTGTATGTCTCAAACTGTTCTGGGAATAAGAAGAGTTTGTTTAGAGAGTTGGGAAATTGTTATCCAGTTCAAACGATAGTATGTGATATCATCAGCTAAATGTTAAATGCTGCGTGGAAAATTCTGGAAAAAATCACTTAAAAATTATTTGGATTTCAGAGCGGGCGTTTCTCAAGTTTTGCCAAAATCCCATTGATCCCCGTGATTTTATTCTCACATTTGTTTTGAGAATTTTTGTCCTAAGCTCAAGTTCAACTACTATTCTTGAATATTCCACGTTTTGCTGCTATGAGAAAGACGGGGGGGGGGGGGGGGGGGGGGGCGCAGAGGCTAGAGAAGGTCTGTGATCGCAAGGTCGCTGACTCAACTCCCCGAACCGACCACCGTTCCCCCCCGGGCGCCCTAGACGGCAGCTCTCTGCTCCACACAGAGGGCTGTGGTAGCTCGGTGGCCTGTGGTTGCGTCAGGAAGGACATCCGGTGTGAAACCATTGACCAAATCTTTGTGATTGTTAGTTCGCTGTGGAGACCCCTGAAGAAGGTGCAGCCGGAAGAAGAACAAATAATTCAAAGAGAAAGAGGAGAAGCATTTGAACAGAGTAGGGGCTTCGATGATTATGCATTGGCACACTTAATTAACTTTAATTAACTGTTTTATTTGACAGCAAAAAGAAAAAAAAACATCCATGTTTGTAGTTTTTGTGGATACTACATTTTCCTCGGCTATAAACTAAGGCAGTAACCATGACCTTACCATGTTTTCTAGAACTTACCTTCTTTTCTTTTGGAAAGCTGGTGAACCTTGTCTCATTAAAAGCTGTCCAACTTGTAATGGGATTGTGACCAGTGGTGTCTACCTGATACTGGGGCACACAGAGTATACCCACTAGAAAACTTTAAGAATTTCAGTATACCCACCACTGATATACGACATATCATTAGGCACATGTCATTGATATGTTAAACGCTTCTGTAACAATCTATCTGTATGCAGCGCTTTGCTTTGATACTGTTTAAAAATTCTACATGTTTATTTATTTATTCAAATAAAAGCATCAGAGAAATTTGGAAATATTCAGTATGCTTAAAAATCAAAATAAATTGATGATTACACTGTATTAACCAGTGTACTTTGGTTTCTAAGCACATTACCCACTACACAAATGTAGACTCCAACTGATTGTGACATTAGGATGAAGGTATTTAGATAAAAAAAGAGCTGCTACTTAAATTCCCCTATTTAGAATAAATCTACCAAAGCCTTGACCCAAATTCAACTATCCTGTCTAAAGGCCTGTTTGCTGGTGTGTTAAATCTGCTTTCCATAAACAGTTTGAATCTTGTTATCAGAATGCTGAGTCAGAGTTCACATGATTGTTTCACGGTTTCCCCGTTTTTCCCTCATTGTTTTGCGATCTAACTGCTTCCGCATACGTTGTGGTGTTAGCCATATCCTCAAGTACGGAGCAGAAGTCCGTTTGTTGTTGTGTTTTTAAACTTTTTGGATTTGCAATGTCCAGAATGAGAACGACAATCTGCACCAGAATACACCTCCTGATCCCCGGAGCCTCCACATTAACCCTAAACATGATTCTCTTTGAGTAGGTGTGGTTTCTTTAATTTCCCCAGGTAAGAAAACCAGTTTGTCAGTGTGAACGGACCAGCCTGAACCATTGTTCTGATCCCTTTTGTGGCAATGAATGGGACCTGCACATTTTTACTAGCAGAGTGGATCCTTACAGTAAGACATGAGGCAACAGCAGAGCAACCAGTGTGCCCAGTAACAGTTCAACAGTTTAATCTACCCATTCTGATTTGAGATTTGGGTCAGCCAACATTGCAATCTGTTCGTGGTGTTGCAATATCAACACAGGAGTTATACTGTATTATAGAATGGGTTTGGATGAGTCAGTGTAAAGGGTGCCATCTACTGGTCCCAGTCAGCTCTGGTTTATAGAGGGACACACTGTAGTGGTTTTTGTCAAGCACTGAGTCTGTAGGGCCCACAAAGATGTATTCTCTGTTTGGGACTCCGAATGTTTGTCATCATAGTGGACTGACAGATCAATGGTATATCACCAGTTTACCATGAGTCAGCTGCTGTAAACAGGAGTGAAGTTCAGAAGAGATGTTTTTTATTTATTTAAAGAAAGTGCTGATAAGACACCGCAAAAAGATCAGAATTCTCCACCACTCTTATCAATCAAAGTGTTTGAGTGCTTCACACTGGCCGCTGTGACCTTTATCTGTCTGGGATGAATCCCCCAGTCAGTCCCATCGCTGTTTAAAATAAGTGAGAGAGCTTCACCCCCTCCCTTTCTATCCCTAACCACGCTTCCATAAGGTCGGTCTGCAGCGTGTGCTTGTTCGTTTAACCCTAACCATGAAAATTAGGTTTTGTTGTTTTGGCTTATCGGCCTCGGGACTTCCATTTGACGTGGATCAATAAAACATTAAAAAAGTCAAGAAAATATTTTCTGTATCCTGAACACTTTTCTTTTCTCGTGTTTTCGACATCAAACTACTTCATTTTATTTTCAGCAATTTTATACTTTAAAGTTTTGGAACATTCAGCTCATTTCTGGTATGAGTGTAATGACCAGTGGTATTTGTGTCTTTTCTATTATTGAAAAATATTTTCCTTCATTTTAAGTTTAGTCAGTAAAGTTGGTTTTTGGTTACATTGAAACGAATGAGGGATTTTGACATTTATCAAATTTTAGCTTTTAGGTTTTTGTTTAGCTAATTTTCTATTGTGCACTTGTTAAGTTTTAGCTAATGATTTGCTAAATTTAGGGTTTAACTATGTTTTTTTTCTCTAAGTTTAGTGTTTAGTTATTTTTTTGTTGTTGTTTATTTTAGCTTTTTAGCTGCAGATTTTCTGGTTTTAGCTGTGGTTTTCAAAACTTAAGATTTTTATTTATAATTGAGCAGATTTTTAGATTGTAGTTACACTTTTACAGTTTTTAGCTTTTTTGTGCTTTTTTACTTTGAAAAATCATTTTTAGCTTCAACAAATTTGTTCAGCACTCAGTAGTCACTGTTTTTTCCATCATCCATCCATCCATCCATCCATCCATCCATCCATCCATCCATCCATCCATACACTTCTTATTCCATCCATCCTTCCATCCATCCATCCATCCATCCGTCCACTTTTCATTCAATCCATCCATCCATCCATCCATCCATCCATCCATCCACTTTTCATTCCATCCATCCATCCATCCATCCATCCATCCATCCA